TGAGGTATCACCTCACACCAGTCAGAATGGCCATCATCAAAAAATATACAGACAATAAATGCTGGAGAGGGTGTGGAGAAAAGTGAACCCTCTTGCACTCTTGGTGGGAATGTAAGTAAAAGAAGTGAAATTGAGTTATTTGTAGTGAGGTGGATGGACCTAGAGTCTGTCATAAAGAGTGAAGTAAGTGAGAAAGAGAAAAACAAATACCGTATGCTAACACATATATATGGAATCTAAAAAAAAAAGAAAAAAAAGGTTATGATGAACCTAAGGGCAGGACAGGAATAAAGACACAGATGTAGAGAATGGACTTGAGGACGTGGAGGGGGGAAGTGTAAGCTGGGACGAAGAGAGAGTGGTATTGACATATATACACTACCAAATGTAAAATAGATAGCTAGTGGGAAGCAGCTGCATAGCACAGGGAGATCAGCTTGATGCTTTGTGACCACCTAGAGGGGTGGGGTAGGGAGGGTGGGAGGGAGATGCAAGAGGGAGGGGATATGGGGATATACATATGCAGATAGCTGATTCACTTTGTTATTCAGCAGAAACTAATACAACACTGTAAAGCAATTATACTCCAATAAAGATGTTAAAAAAAAGCACTTTATTATGAAACATAAATTTTCAGACACATGAGATTAAAGAGTATGATGAACTCTCATGTACCCTTAAACCAGTTCCAACAATTATTAACATTTGCTAATGTTGTTAATACCTATCTTACATCTTATGGTAAAATACTTTAAAGCAAATCTCTGATGTTGTGTTTTTTCAACCATAAATACTCTGTATTCGTTTTGTTTCACTTCTAATGTAGATTTAACAGGTAGGATTTCCAAAATATTTTGTTGTAATAGTTGAGGCCATTTATTTCATTTCTTGTTCTTTTTTTGGAAGATTTAATATGTTAATGTTTGGAATATTGATGAGCTGGAAACTCAGGCATGAAATTAGTTTGCTATTCAGTCTGGCTCATCTCAAAATATACTAGATTTTAAATAAAAATGTTTATTGAATGTGTAACATTTGCAGATAGTGTATTAGGATACAACATATACTGCACAACTCCATAGCAGTATATAGAATACAAAGATATATAAAGTCTGGTCTCTACTGTCAATGACTTGATGCTTTACTGGAGAAGACAGAATCTTATGGTGTAAAGAGCTAAAAAACAATTGAGAAGCTAAATAAAATTTTAATATATTTCTAAAGGAAATGTCAGGAAGCAGTAAGATCATTATATAAACACTTTCATATATGTTCCATCCTAATTTGAAAAAGTTATATTAAAATTTAGGGGAAAAATTTAAATTTAGGTGTTTTTTGGGGTTTTTTTGTATGTATTCTTATACTTTAGGTTTGTCCCTTGAAATCAGGATCTGGCGGCTTTTGTTTGTTTTTAGTCCTGATAATCTTTGTCTTTATTCTTACCATTATTATTAAATTATTTAATTCATTCATCAAATTGAGGCACTTGAAACAACTTATTCACAAAGTTGTTTAGATAGCTTTGTATGATTTTCCAAAACAAGCTTTGTTTTTTGGGGCCCATTTTTGGTTCACAGCAGAATTGAGCAGAAAGTACACAGATTTCCCATAGGACCCTCTGAGCCCACTTATACACAGCCTTCCCTGCTAGTGACATGCCCTACCACAACTGATGAACCTACAACGAAACAGGACTATCACCCAAAGCCCTTTGTTTACATTAGGACTCATTCTTTTTTTTTTTTTTGCGGTACGCGGGCCTCTCACTGTTGTGGCCTCTCCCGTTGCAGAACACAGGCTCCGAACGCGCAGGCTGAGCGGCCATGGCTCACGGGCCCAGCTGCTCCGCGGCATGTGGGACCTTCCCGGACCGGGCACGAACCCCGCGTCCCCTGCATCGGCAAGCGGACTCCCAACCACTGCCCCACCAGGGAAGCCCAGGACTCATTCTTGATGTTGTACATTCTGTAGTTTTTGATGAATGTATAATGATATATATCCACCATTGTAATATCATATGGCATAGTGTCACTGCCTTAAAAATCCTCTGTGCTCTGCCTGTTCATCCCTCCCTCCCCCTGCCAATGGCAATGACTGTCTGCTTTTTTAAAAAAAATTAATAGATTTTATTTTTCAGAGCAGTTTTAGGTTTACAGACAAATTGAGCAGAAAGTGTGGCGTTCCCATATATCGGCTCACACTCCCACCTCCTCAGTTTCCACCATTATTAACATCTTGCATTATTGTGGTGCATTTGTTACAATTGATGAGCCAATATTGATACATTATTATTCACTAAAGTCCACAGTTTAATTAGAGTTCACTCTTTTTTTTTATGTGTTCTGTGGGTTTTGACAAATGTATAATGACATTTATCCACTATACAGTATCATACAGAATAGTTTCACTGTCGTAAACATGGTAACGTGCTCAACCAATTCATCCTTCCCTCCTTCCTCCAGACCCTGGCAACCACTGACCTCCTTAGTGTCTCCATTGTTTGTTTTACTAGAATGTCAATCTTCATCTTTTAACTTGAAATGTAATTTATTTTTGTCGTGATTTCCCTTGTGTTATGGTTTATTTCCATACTCTTACTTTGCTTTTGTTTTTTCTACTTTCTCTAGGTGTATTTTTCCTCTTTTTTCTTCTTGCTTTTGCATTGACTGGGTTTTCTTTTTCCTTTTTTCTTATCCTTCTCCTCTCCACTCCTGTTTCTAGGTTGGAAATTATACCTTCAATTTCTTTTTTTCAGTAGTTGGTTATTTTTTTCTCAGAACATTAAAGATAGTATTCCCCTATCGTCTGACTTCCATTTTTTGCTTTTGAGAAGTCAGCCATCAGTGTAATCTTTGCTCTTTTGAAGATACAGTGGCTTTTCTCTCTGGCAGCATTTAAGATTTTTCTTTGTTTTGGTGTTCTGAGTTTCACTGTAATACATCTGGATGTGGATCCAGCCCCTCCCTTACTTGCGAGTGTTTGGGCTTTTTGAATCTGAAGAGTCTTTTTTTTTAATCAATTCTGGAAAATTCTCAGCATTATTTCTGCAAATATTACCTCTTTCCCTTCTCTCCTTTTTTGACTCCAGTTAGATATGTGTTGGATCTTCTTATTCTCTTCTTCATGTCCCTTAACCTCTTTCATATTCTCTACCTTTGTTTTTAAGCTGCCCCTTGTACTAATTCTCCATTAAGTTTTGTCTAATCTGCTTTTTATCTTGTCCATTGAGTTTCTAATTTTAATTGTTATAATTATCATATAATTTTATTTCTAGAAGTCTAATTCCTTTACAAATTTTCTTGCCCATTAATTTAATCTCATATTTCTTAGTTATCCCATTGAATATCCTCTTTTATTTTTCTAAACATGTTAAGCATGCTTATTTTATATTCGATTCTAAAATTTTTAATATCTGAAGTATTTTGGGTTTGATTCAGCAGGGTGTTTTTGCTGTGGTTCCTGCTCATGGAGACTTGCTTTCTTGTATATTATTTCCTGTATATATTTGTGATTTATTTTTATTTTAGTTCATGGTTCTTGGAACATTTTTAGGGAAGTTTCTTTGAAACCTGAGTTTAAAGTATGGGTTATATATGCATGTCACACATGAAAATTAACCCAGGAACTAGACATTGCCCCTTTACATACAATCTCGGCCAATAAATTCAATATTTTCATAAAGTTATTTTTTTAAAAAAGAAACTTAGTTTCTTCTAAACAATTATTTCTAGTTTCTGTTTAGTTTTGTGGCTGCTTATCAGTGTGGAGTTGTTGGGATTAGGACTACGGCATAAAACCTATGAGAAGAAATTGGGAAGAGGGGTAAGTCATTAAAAGTTTTGATATAGAATTTTATATGATATATGGCCTACAGAGCACAGAAAGGAGTTCTGACTTTATTTTTCTTGCAGTGGAAGCCACCAGAATATTTCAAGCAGGAGGAGGAAGAAATATGATATATATTAACTTGGCTGCCCTGTGAAGAATGGATTGTAGAGTAGAAGCAGGGAGATAAGTTATGAGGCTTTTTCAGTTGCCCAGGAGAGGGACCCTGGAAGTTTGGATGGGAGCCGTGGCCCTGGAGTTGGAGAGGAGTGGATGGACTTAGAATATATTTTGAAAGTAAAGCTGATAGGAGTTGCTGATGGATTAGATGACACTGAATGAGAAGACAGAAAGAATCAAGGACGACTTCTGTGTTTTGGCTTGAGCAACTGGATGGAGGGTGGTGGCATTTACTGACGTGGGAATAACAGGTTTTGGAGTGATGAGAGCCAGAGTTAATCATAGGTATGTAGTTATGTGAAAAGCTATAACTTGATGAATATAATCATGCCTCTCAATGTCTCTCTTGATGGTTCTGTTCTCTTTATAGGACATTCAGTAAACTGAGTAATATTTCTTGCATAGAGATGCGATTCACACCTCACTGCTGTAGCACAATGAGCTGTTTAGGTTAAGTGGTGGCCCTCCTATGCAAAGAGGTGGTGCTTACCCTTCTCTCAGCTTGAACTTGTATGTTCCACTTGGAGTTGTTTTTTTCAGTTGTGATAGAGTTGGTCTAATCTGGCCATACTCTTTCACAGGATCCCTGTTGTTGATCCGCTGGTATTAATTTGAAATAGATGGTTAGTGTTGGGCACTGCAATCTCTGACTGGACCCACGGGCTCAAAAGAGGACTCTTCAGAGGGTGCTGTGCTCCTGAACCTGGGCCTTGCCAGCGCAGTGGGGAGCAACACCACGTATAACGCAGAGTTGGCAGACCACTCTGTAAATATGGTAAGGGACTCTGTGCACCCCTCTGTGGCCTCATTCTCTGATATCAGGGTAACCCCTTCCTGCTTATGCTTGTTATCATATTCATGCATTTCTTTATATTGTTATTACACATGACACACCTCTATACAATATTGTATTTTTCCATGTTTTTAACTTTATCTAAATAACATCTGACATATATATTTTGCAACTTAATTTTTTTTTTTTTTTTTTTTTTTTTTTTTATGCGGTACACGGGCCTCTCACTGCTGTGGCCTCTCCCGCTGCGGAGCACAGGCTCCGGATGCGCAGGCTCAGCGGCCATGGCTCACGGGCCCAGCCGCTCTGCGGCATGTGGGATCTTCCCGGACCGGGGCACGAACCCGCGTCCCCTGCATCGGCAGGCGGACTCTCAACCACTTGCGCCACCAGGGAAGCCCTGCAACTTAATTTTTTATTTAAAGTAATCCTGGTGAGATTCATCCATATGGAAATATGTAGCCCTAATTCATTTATTAGGGCTGTGTAGTATTCCATTTTATGTATGATCATTTTTTTATTCATTTTCCTATTTTTCCTATTGAAACAACAGCCAGGTTGTTTCTAATTTTTTGCTTTTATAAACAGTGCTTATCAGAAATATCACTTTCTAAACATTCTTCCTAACTTCCAAGCCTAAGCTAGAAATTCACAGATTATAAAATACCTACTAGTAAATATCTCCTTATTATTATGCATTAGCTGTGGGCAGATGCCTAAAAAATATCCTTTGCTGAAATATGAATTTTGGTGGAGAGAGGTGGAGAAGAGTGGATCACTGAAACTGCCATTGTTCATTCATCCTAAATTATCATTAAAACAATTCCTCAGGCACTAGCCACAGAGGTCTCTGCCGCCATCTGGCCTTTCAGGTTTGGCTTTGACAGTGAAGGATGGTCTAATTTAGAAAGATCAGCTCAACTGCTCAGTCAAACAGGTAAGTCTTACTGAAATTATTTCCAGTTTTTGAGAAACTCCTACTGTTATGTTTATTTTGAGCAAGATCATAAGTAATAGGAGGAGGGTTTGCTGGGTCACAAACTAATCTCTTAAAAGGGCTTTACTTTGGTGGGCGGCTCAGGAGGATTAAGCTTCTGTAACCACATCTGTGTTTGCTTGAGAGCAATTAATTCAGTTGATTCTGAACAAAGTCTCCTACTGGGTATCTGCAGGAGAATCTTGTCATGCCTTTGCTCTTGGAAATGCCCCTGCTAGTGACTCCTGTCACTTGGGAACCCACTGTTGGGGACCAGAAAATTGTCAGATGAAAAGGCAGAATGGGTTGGAGTGATACTCATTTGCAAAGCAAATTGCTTTCTAGAGCCTGAGGGCCAATTTTATTTGTTTCTGTGCCCTGGGGTACTCATCTTTGGATGAAGCATCCTTTAAAATATGTGGGTGTTTTGTTCTTAGATCAACTACATGGAGAATGGAGCAAGGGATTTAAAGGGCTAAACTGTTCTAGTTATTCCTAATGATAAGCATGTCTCCTGAGAAATAGCTGAGGGTCTGTATGATTCTAATGCCATTAAGAAATTTCTCTGGCCCTTAGTCCTTTAGTCCTGATTACAGGCCTCTGGGGCACATCTGACCAGGGTATCTGAATAAACTTACTTCTGTGTCAGTACAATGGAGATGTTTGCCCAGGAATAAAACACTACTGTATACTCTGTTGTTTCTGAACATAAATTGGATATTTGAGAAAGGTATTAAGCTTATTTGAAATTTGGGGAATGATGTTAATATTTGAAAATTTACAAGTTATGTTTTTATCCTTTCCTACATTTCTTCAAGGTGTCCCATGTTTTAATTACATTCAAAATATGGTAAAAAAAATTTTACAGCTCAGATTTGAACCAGTTCACTTTAGTAACTCATTAGGAATTACTTTGATTTTTGATTTACGAGTAAAGGCAGGGGATTAAAGAATCAAGTTTTGCTAATTGTTTTCACATTGCTATGGTTAATCACCATGTGCTTTTTTTTTTCTGAACAGGTGCAGATTTCATAACAATTTTGGAGAGCGATGCTTCTAAGCCCTATATTGGGAACAATGACCTGACCATGTGGTTAAGGGAGAAGCTGGGTTTCTATACCGACTTTGGTCCAAGCGCAAGGGGTCACACTTGCGGGTGAGTGTCCCTTCGGAATTAATCCCAAACATATCCCTGAAAGACTAGGCAGCATGGGCTTGGAGTGGAAAGTTGATATTGTTATACCTTAGTCCTATGAATATGTCCCAGTGATGCTTCTTGGAGGATGAGGAGGTGCTGAAGATATGCATCTTCCATCCTGTTTTAATGGCTTCCCTTTTGCTGGATACTTTCCGTTCTTCACTCTTATAAACCATTTAGTGTAGGAGCTGAGGTTACAGCACTAAATGTGTCTGTCCTGGACGCTGTCCTCATGGAGTTACATTATAGTGTGAAGAGACGGAAAATAATCATGGACACACAGAAATAAATAATTTGAGACAATGGTAAGTGCTGTGTAGAAAAGGAGAGCGGCTGGGTGGGCAGGGCAGCAGGGGACGCTGCTGTAGGTAGCGTGGTCAGGAAGGTCTCTCTGCCGACCTCATGATGGGGAGGACCCAGGACCCACTGTGCGAGGAGCCAGTGTAAAGACTTGAGGCCAGGTCAGTCTTGGTGTGCCGGAGCACAGGGTTTGAGGGGGAACTAGTAAGAAAGGAGGTCAAAGGTGGGCCCCTGATCTTACAGGGTCCCATGCTTAGCACTGATTTAATTCAGTTTTTTTTTAAATAAATTTATTTATTTAATTTTATTTATTTTTGGCTGTGTCGGGTCCTTGTTGCTGCACGCGGGCTTTTCTCTAGTTGCGGCGAGCTGGGGCTACTCTTCGTTGTGGTGCGTGGGCTTCTCATTGCAGTGGCTTCTCTTGCTATGGAGCACAGGCTCTAGGCACGTGGGCTTTAGTAGTTGTGGCTCACGGGCTCTAGAGCGCAGGCTCAGTAGTTGTGGCGCACGGGCTTAGTTGCTCCGTGGCACATGGGATCTTCCCGGACCAGGGCTCGAACCCATGTCCCCTGCATTGGCAGGCGGATTCTTAACCACTGTGCCACCACGGAAGCCCTTTAATTCAGTTTTGATAGGAAACCACTGGAGGATTGTAAACACGGGAGCAATCTGATCTGATTTACATTTTTGAAAGATCATTCCGGCTGTTCCTAGAAAAACAGATTGTCGGGGGCAGGAGTGGGAGCAGGGAGACAGGTGATGAGGTAGAGGCATTAGCACAGGTGAGAAATGACAGTGGGAGGCGTGGAGATGGAGAGAAGGGGTCAAACTCAGGAGCTGTCTTGGAGCAGGGCTGACAGGACTTCCTGATGGTTTAGATATCGGGGCTGGAAGTGACAAGGATAGCACCAGGGTGTCTTACCTGAGTCCCTGATAGGAGATGATGCCCTTTAATGGGACAGGAATGACCAGGTGAGCATCAGGATTGTGCTAAACTGAAGATGCCCCTGGACGGTCAAGTGACGTCCATAGGTGCTTGTGTGCAGCCTGGAGGGCCGAGTGGGACAGCACAGGCTGGGCCTGTGCATTCAGGGATCATCACTGTAGGTATGGTTCTGTCAGAAGGACTTCAGGGGGAGGCCAGACAGTGCGCCCAGCCTGAGGTCTGAGCTCTGATCATCCTTTCCATATGTAGTTCTTTGACTTAGAGTGAGGCGGAACGGGTTTTCCTGTCTTTATCAGACCATTTGTAATTTCTAATTTTGTAAATTGTTGCACTGTGTCCTGGCTGGCAAGGTCATACATTCTCAAATGCGTTGATTAATATTAGAATTGTTTATGCAGATAAGTTGCCAGAGTAACAGTGCTAGTAAAATGGAGTTTGTGTATCCTAATTCTGCCCTTTTCGTGTTTCCATAGCACTTATTATTTTTTTATTAATTAATTAATTTATTTTTGCTGTGCTGGGTCTTCGTTTCTGTGCGAGGGCTTTCTCTAGTTGTGGCAAGCGGGGGCCACTCTTCATCGCGGTGCGTGATCCTTTCACTATCACGGCCTCTCTTGTTGCGGAGCACAGGCTCCAGACGTGTAGGCTCAGTAATTGTGGCTCACGGGCCCAGTTGCTCCGTGGCATGTGGGATCCTCCCAGACCAGGGCTCGAACCCATGTCCCCTGCATTGGCAGGCAGACCCTCAACCACTGCGCCACCAGGGAAGCCCTCCATAGCACTTATTAAACAGAGTTGATAGTGTTGTTCTTGGTGACACAGTGAGAAGTGCTGAATAGCCCAGATGCAATGAACAGTCCGGCAGACTGCCCCATACCTCTCCGCCACATTATTGCTCTCAGTGCCCCTCAGTGGGATGCTTGAAGTGTGCACATCCCTCTTGAACACATATTCTTAGTCCCGTTTGCATGATACGGTGGGACCAATAGTGACGCACGTGTTTCTTTCCATTGGAATACAGGATTATGGTTTTGTCAAGATACCGCATTGTGAAATCAGAGCATCACCTTCTTCCGTCACCAGAGGGCGAGATTGCACCAGCCATCACTCTGTTAACATTTCTGACAAACTGGTGGATTTTGTTGTGACCCACTTTGGGAATCATGAGTGGGTTTCTTTGGTTTTTCTTGAAGTACACAAATGCCAAGAAATATTATTAACACATTACTTTGACTTCCATGCATTGACCTTTCTTACTTTCTTCTTCTTTTTTTTTCCAAAGTATTTTACTCTGTGTTGCTGGTTTTAAAAATCAGGCATAGAGGGAGTTCCCTGGTGGCCTAGTGGTTAGAACTCTGGGCTTTCACTGCCGGGGCCCGGGTTCAATCCCTGGTCCAGGAACTGAGATCCTGCAAGCCGTGTGGCGTGGCCCCCCACCAAAAAAAAGATAAAGGAAAAAAAATCAGGCATAGAAACCTTTGAGATGCAGGCAGTCCTTAACGATGGTACAAGGCAGCATGATGGCCATGTTAGCCAGCAGTTACTGAGCAGGTGCTGTGCTAAGTGCATTATTGTATTTAATCTTCATTTTGTATAACATTGTACTATTATAGCTCCATTTTACAGATAAATAAACTAGACTGAAGGTTAGAAGACTTGTCCAACCTGGGTCACACAGCTAGGAATTAAGTAGACCCAACTCAGAGCCTGCAAGTGCTTGAAACCACATGGTAAACCAGACTACGGAAAGATGAAATTCCCTTTTCCTACAGGATTACTCCAGTTGGAAGTACTGTTGGGATTTGAGAGTACTAAATAACATTTCTTTTTCCCTCATGTTTTCAGTCAACTGAGAGGTAGGCAGAGGAATCTGGCAGGAAGATCAAAATATCTCTTTTGATTCTGATAAACGTATTTGGACAACATGGCTTAAGTGTGTCCACATGGACCTGCTAATACATTCCCCCAACAATACATGATGCTGGCTCCCCCGAAGCAGCTGACCTACCTGGCAGGGGCAGAGTCTGCCCTGTCAAACTCTCCCCTTAGTGGAGAAGATAACGCAAGGAAACACCCTTTCTGCAAACCGGCAGGTTCCAGGGAGAAGAGTGAGGAAGTGTTTGAGACAAGCATGCCCAGTTTATTCTTACAAACTTAATTAATTACAAAAATCCTCCCAAGAAGTAAAGGGTGAGAGGGAGAGAGGCCAGAGATGATTTTCTGAGTCGGTCCCCCTCCAAGGAGACATGAAGAATGGGGAATGAATTTTATCCCCAAAGAATAACATTCACAACCAGTGACTTAGTACTGAATAAATCACGAATAATGCCAGCAATATGTTGTTAAAGCAAAGATAAAAGTATATAATTTATACTGTACCATACTAAACATTCTCTAATAGTAATTGAAAACACAAATGCAAAGTGCTTAGTGTTATAAAATACAGCATATGGGCCCTGTCCACATTAATGATACAAGAGGCCATAGAGCTTTACAGTGACATACAGAACATTAGAAAAACAACAAACAAAATACGGGTAGCAGACATATTCGTTTTGTTTAGGTGAAACTTACAGTATGACAGAACCCAACATTGTTGTACTGTAAGTTTCACATAAGCAAAATGAGTATGTCTGCTACCCATATTTTCCTATTACTTCCCTTTTTCTCGCAGTATTACATGGATCTGTGAAAGCGTACTTGACTGTTTTCTGAAATAAGTCAGAGCATAAGGAATATAACCCAACCATTCAAATGTAATTAATGTGAACTGTTTGCTAATCAGACTCTTGCTGGTCTTCTTAGAAATGGGAAGGGTGTTTGGAGGACGGATGGTATAGACAGTCCACATCTCTGTAAAAAGATGTTTGAAGAAACGCTTTCTGTTTCTCCCAGCAATTTTCAGGTTGCAAGTATAGACATTCAGAAATCATTCTGCTGAGCTTAAATTGCACTTGAATTGGGTTTATCTTTTAAAAAATAGGCACTTTTGTGTTTAAAGGTTGCAAGGTCTCAACCTAAGAAACAGTTGAGTATACTCCATCCTGTTTTCCTTTTCCTTTTTTTCCCCTGCCCCCTGTAACTCCCTCTGACCTCTAAAATGTGAAGAATAGACTTGGGAGGGAAGAGAAGACTAAAAGATAGCCCTCAAATTGTTTGGAAAAGAGGGAAGGATTACCTTTCCTAACTTTCTATTAACCACATATGTAAAGCCCTGTAGCTAACAACATACCCTTTGCTTACTACCTTACTCACTTGATTTTATAATAATGACAACCACAGCAGTAATGATAATAGCTAGCACCTGTCGAGGAGATGTGACTGTAAGGGAAGAGAAGGGAAGCAGTATAGTTTAATGGCTAAGAGCATGAAACTCCAGAACCTGGAATCAGACAATCTGGTTTGAATCCTAAGTCAAGGTGTATCCTTCACCAGATTATTTAACTCTCTTGAGCCTCAGTTTTCCCATCTGCAAATCAGGAGCGATAATCCTACTTATAGGATTCTTGAGGGAATTAAATAAGATATATTATCTCATGCAAAGTATATGACTAGAGTAACTGCTCAATTAATACTGGCCATTATTATTAAAGCACATCAGACAGCTCTAAGTGTGAAGCGCATTGAGTAGCTTTAAAAAAAAGTCATTCATCAAACACGAATCAAGCATCTATTGTGTCCCAAGCACAATGCCAGGTGCAGCCTTTTCCCTTAGAGCCTTAGCTCTTGTCTCACTCTTTAGAAGCCCTGTCCACTCCCAACAAGTGACATGAGAAAGTTCATGCTTCAAATAACTTGTGAAGCCATCACTACATATTTTTGCTTGCCTTTGTTTTTATAATACTAGATAAAAAAATTCTTACTCTGAAAAAATATTTAGTGATTTTATTTTCTAGTGATTATGGCATATAAACATGAAATCATATTAGGAATGAATTACAGAATGCTTATGCATGTTATTAGCTGATTCAATGGGATTTCTAAAATTACTGATGACACAAATATCTCTTTACAACCAATAAACAGAAAATAGCAGCATTCCTTAGAAGTTACTTAGGTATACGCCGTAACTAAAATTGGTATTATTTTAGGTAATTAACTGAGCCACCAGTTAATCACCGTGTTTGTTTCTTATAACGTGCATAAATGTACAAAGAAGAAAGAGCACAGAACCTGTAGTCTGTAGTTACAGTTTTGGTTCTTTTGTAAGATAAACTCATTGAGCTCCAGTTCCCTTGTCTCTGAAAATCAGATAAAATTATTTTTTCTAGCCCACATCATAGGGCTATTGGGCCGATCAAATATCAACAGATAAGAACATAAAACGTGTTCAATCTCTCTCTTTCTCCCTGTCTCCTAATTCCTCCCCCTCCTTTCTTTATACCCATACATACATATAGGTTTTATTTTTATTATTATCACTGGATAAAATTTATCTCCTGAGAAAATGTAAAGCCAAATTCACAGGTTATTTTCCGATAATATATTGCTAAAACCTATTTGAATGAAAGCTCTATCTGTGGTGCAGTGACTTTGGCATCCTCTAGATTGGATTTGAATCCCAGTTGTGTGTCAGAAGGAATAGAATTCACTGCAGACTTAATGAAGGGACTACTTACCACGATGTTGGAAGGGTCAGAGGAACAGATAAGAGATGCTAAGGTACTCAGACACTAGTAATGGTGGGGAACCAGTACCATCCTTAGGGCTGAAGGGACAGGTAGAGGAAACAGTGTTCCCAGAGCCCCGTTTGATCTGGAACCAGAAGAGGGGCCACCAGGCATGAGGAATGCAGCTCGAAGAAATACTCCAATTTCTCTCTCTTCCTACCCAAACCTCACTGGAAATTAGTAGACAAGGAAGCCCAGGAGATGAAATCTGCAGAGACCAGCCTCCAGGGCATAGAGAAGGGCTGGGAATGGATCTAGGCAAAGATGTTTAGCAAATGGTCATCCTTTTCACTCTTCTGTTTCTTGAGACATCTTTTAATAGTGCTCAGCTGTCTATACGTAAGAATGGATAAGCTTAGTCCTGTCTTTTGATCCTACCTCAATGAGGTTTCTCCAGTCTTCTCAGCTCTTGGTGATCTCCCTCTATCTTCTTTTGTCATTGATTTTTCTTAACAGTCATTTATTAGCTGTCTTACTCTGTAAGTGCCTGTGTTGGTCTGCTGCCTATTTGCCTTTGGACCCATTCCCGGTTCAGCTCCCTTCCAGCTACAGATTGCAGGAAACCACATTTCCCAGAGTCTAGTGCCTTCTGTCTTCTGGGTAGGTTTCACCAATGGGATGCACTAATGCAAGGCTGGAGGGCTGGAGGAGGGGAGGAGACAGAGTACTTCTCATTCTCTCTTCTTTCTCTGTTGTCTCTGGCAGCAGCTAAGTCTCTTCTGTGGCTCCAACTCCTCCTTCAATGGCCCTGGATCCTTCTGAGTAGCCTCCTCCGTAGTACCATTTCCCATCATTTAGGACTGGCTTGTGGACTCTGGGAATATCACCTCTTCCTGTTGTCCCTCTAGCCCTAGAGGTGGTAGAGGTTTCTCACTGCTACTAAACTCTAGTTGCTTCACTGATTCCTGTTTGGCTTCCTATCACCTAATAGCCAATCCCTTGTATTAAATTCACTTTGTTTGAAACACCTAGAGTGGTTTCAGTTTTTCTTGCTGGATCATGCAGATATGATGTCCCTATTTTTCCCCAGACAGACTGACTATAAACCCCTCAGAGTCTTGATGTACTTGCCTGATTGTCTCAGTCACACACTTATAGTGCTCAACATGATAAAAGCAGTACACTTAGCCAGTATTTGACCAGGAGAGCCAGGGAGGCTTTCAGAAACTGTTCAGTTGAAGGAGCTGAGTAGGTTAACAAACCTGGTGTGTTCTGTGAATGTTAGGATTCTCCCTTTTACCGGTACTCCTTGCTTTTTTTTTTTGAACTACTAATCTTTAGCTGTAATACTGATGACCAGGTCTTAGATTTTTGTTATAATTTCTTCTGATGAAAAGTTGAGCAATTGCTGTTTTTAGATATTTCTATCCACTGGACTCCAAATGATTTGTGGGGAAAGGTCATGTTGTTCTTGGTCAAGTTTGTCAGCCTGCTCAGTTGAAGCACTATAGCTGTCTTGCTCATTTGCATAACATTAAGTCCGTGTGTCCCAGTAGGAGTTATTCTGGGTTTGTGCAGTGTTTGAAGATATTCTTTGGGAACTTAGTTAGGTACCTAATATTTTTTAAAAATTGTTTTGCAAATACAGTAAAGAGGTATATTTTTGCATTTTTTCAGAGATGACCTCGATAGGAAACTTCAAGCTATTGCTGTTTCAAAACTACTGAAAAATAGCTCTGAGCAGGTGATATTTCTGGGATATATCACTTCAGCACCTGGTTCCAGAGATTATCTACAGCTCATTGAACGTGGCAATGTAAGGGTAACACAATCTTAATAGGATTTCTGATTTCTTAAATAAAGTGTTTCTTCTTCATGTTTTGAAAAACCTAACCCAACATTGTAATATGTATCCTGATTATCTACTGCTGCATGGAAAACTACCAAAAAACATACTGGCTTTAAGTAGCATTCATCTCTTTGCTCATAAATCTGCGATTTGGACAGGACTTAGTGCGGATAGCTCATCTCTGCTCCACACAGCTAGGCAGCTCACCTGGGGACTGGAGGAGCCACTTTGCAGATGACACATAAGTGGCAAGTTGGTGGGGCTGTTGACTAGGAGCTCAGCTGGGGCTTTGGCCTCAGGGTCCTGCTTCCTCTCCGTGGGATGCTTAGGCTTCTTTCCTGCGTGATGGCTGGGTTCTAAGAGTGAGTGTCCTAAGAGAACCGGGAAGAAGTTGTATTGCCTTGTATGACCTAGCCTTGTAAGTCATATAACGTGATTTCTGCTGTCATCACAAGCCTGCTCGCCTTCAAGTGGAAGAAACATAAACCCCATCTCTTGATGAGAGGAGTATCAAAGTCACATTATAAGAATGCCTTATGGAAAGTGGATTATTGTAGCCGTGTTTAGAAAATACAATCTGCCACATTGTACAAGTTAATCATGATGAGAGTAAAAGATAGAATGGCCTACAGAGAGGCTGGCTGGTCAGGGCCTCACTAAATGACACTGACTTTGTCCTTACCTGTCCAGGTCCAAAACGGTTGAATTTCTCAGTGCATCCAGATATAATCATACTCTGGGAAACTGACAGACTCAAATCCTTGAGACATATATACACTAGAAGGTTAAATGCATTCGTTTATAATGAGAAATACAATTATTATATTTAGTTAAGCCCTATGTAGATTTCTTGGTCCTTTACATGTCTTCTTTTTTTACTTTATTGTCTTGAGATAATATCTGCAAACAAAAAAACGTAACCATTTTATCAAGTGCTTGGAGAGACAGGTGAGAGAGAGCGTTGTATGATGAGGGTATTCTGTATGTGACAGAAAACACAAAACGACAGTGGCTTAAATAAGAGAAGTATAGCTCTTTATGTAGAAGTCTGGGCAGGTGATTCACCACTAGTACGGCACTTCGTGGTATTGGGAGTGTGCTCCTTCTATCTTGTGGCTCCACATTACAAGGCTTCCCCTCCCAAGTTTGCCTCATGGTCCAAGATGGCAGCATCGTTGTTCTAGTTAGCAAGAGGGAGGAAGGGATACAGAGGGGCCCAAGAGCGTGTGCAACTTATCTCTAAGGCAAATTCCAGGAAACTGACCTCTTCTACCTACATTTCATTGACTGGAATTTAGTCATTGGCCATACCTCACTGTATGGGAAGTTGAGAGATGCAATATTTAACCTTGATACCCTTATACCTAGCTAAAAATCCTACAACTTTGGAAGACGGGCAAGGCAGATATTAGGGAGATGAGTTAATCTCTGCCCTGGTGGATAAGGCAGAAATGGAGTCAAGATGGACTCCTAATTTTGGCTTTGGTCAGAGGGTTTATGATGGTGACCCTTATTATTATAGAGAATACATAAGGAAGAAGAGTTTTGCAAAGAAGATGAGTTCAGCTTTAGGCTGAGTTGAGGCATCTGTGGGATATTAGTGGAGCTGTCCATTAGGCAGCTGGACATATGGATCTGGAACTGAGAAGGGCTGTCAGGACCAGAGATACAGATTAAGGGGTTGCCACCATCTAGGTGATCATTAAAACCATGGAAGGGGATGATATTGCTTATGGAGTTAGAGAATTGCAAGAGGAAGACCAAAGAAAACTCCTGATAGAGTCACATTTAGTGTGGCTATCATGGGGGTGATGGGTGAGGGAAGAGGAGGGAGATTATCTCAGAAAAGAGATTAAGGAGAAGTCAGAAGAGTAACTGGAAAATCTGGAGAGTGGAATCACAGGGGTTGCATTAGTTATTTATTAGTGCATCACTGTGTAAGCTACAAACCTTAGTGGCTTAAAAAGAACAATGGTCCAATATCCTCATGACTGTGTGGGTCTACCGAGTGGTTTTCTGTTCTTGCCTGCGTTCATTCATGGAGTCAGCTGTGGCTGTGGCTGGGGAGGTCTGACATGTCCCCCGCTCACTGGTCTGGGGCCTTGGTGCTGGTTGTTGGCTGGACCTCTCTCTCCATGTAGTCTCTCATCAGTAGCCTACCTGGTGCCACATTTACCAGCTTTGTGACCTTGAGGCAAGTTATTTAACCTTTCTGGGCCTCAATGTCCACATCTATAAAGAGGGGATAGTAATACCTATTGTATCATAGGGTTGTTCTGAGGATGAAAATAAAGTAATGCCTGAAAAGCCCTAAGCCTTGCATGTAGGAGGCACTTAATAAGTGGTAGCTACATATTTGTATTATGTATGTCTGGCTGTATGTATCAAATCACATTAGATAAATGTGTAAGTATATGGTCTATAAAGTATAGAAGACTACTATACCAGATGATATTTGGCAAGTTTAAGAAAAAATCGATTGTATCCTAATAAGAGAGAGAATTTGTGTGTGTGTGTGTAAGAGGAATTTTATTTGATTTTTATTTAATACTCTGTTGGGTTCCACTGTCACAGTCAAAAGTTGTGTCAAGATTGGCAGTGGACAGACACTGTAAAACTCTTAGAGGAAAACACAGGCAGAACACTCTATGACATAAATCACAGCAAGGTCCTTTTTGACCCAGCTCCTAGAGAAATGGAAATAAAAACAAAAATTAAAAAATGGGACCTAATGAAACTTAAAAGCTTTTGCACAGCAAAGGAAACCATAAACAAGACGAAAAGACAACCCTCAGAATGGGGGAAAATATTTGCAAACAAAGCAACTGACAAAGGATTAATCTCCAAAATATTCAAACAGCTCATGCAGCTCAATATCAAAAAAAACAACCCAATCCAAAAATGGGCAGAAGACCTAAATAGACATTTTTCCAACAAACACATGAAAAGATGCTCAACATCATGAATCATTAGAGAAATGCAAATCAAAAGTGCAATGAGGTATCACCTCACACCAGTCAGAATGGCCATCATCAAAAAATCTAGAAACAATAAATGCTGGAGGGAGTGTGGAGAAAAGGGAACCCTCTTGCACTGTTGGTGGGAATGTCAATGGATATAGCCACTATGGAGAACAGTATGAAGGTTCCTCAAAAAACTAAAAATAGAACTACCATATGACCCAGCAATCCCACTACTGGGCATATACCCTGAGAAAACCATAATTCAAAAAGAGTCACGCACCAAAATGTTCATTGCAGCTCTATTTACAATAGCCAGGACATGGAAGCAACCTGAGTGTCCATCGACAGATGAATGAATAAAGAAGATGTGGCACATATATACAATGGAATATTACTCAGCCATAAAAAGAAAGGAAATTGAGTTACTTGTAGTGAGGTGGATGGACCTAGAGTCTGTCATACAGAGTGAAGTAAGTCAGAAAGAGAAAAACAAATACCGTATGCTAACACATATATATGGAATCTAAAAAAAAAAAAAAAGATTCTGAAGAACCTAGGGGCAGGACAGGAATAAAGACGCAGATGTAGAGAATGGACTTGAGGACATGGGGAGGGGGAAGGGTAAGCTGGGACGAAGTGAGAGAGTGGCATGGACTTATACATACTACCAAATGTAAAATAGATAGCTAGTGGGAAGCAGCCACATAGCACAGGGAGATCAGCTCGGTGCTTTGTGACTACCTAGAGGGGTGGGATAGGGAGGGTGGGAGGGAGATGCAAGAGGGAGGAGATATGAGGATATATGTATATGTACAGCTGATTCACTTTGTTATAAAGCAGAAAGTAGCACACCATTGTAAAGCAATTTTACTCCAATAAAGATGTTAAAAAAAAAAAAAAGATTTGCAGTGGATTCTTTTTTTGTGTGTGTGGTACGCGGGTCTCTCACTGTTGTGGCCTCTTCCGTTGCAGAGCACAGGCTCCGGACGTGCAGGCTCATCGGCCATGGCTCACGGGCCCAGCCGCTCCGCGGCATGTGGGATCCTCCGGGGTCACGAACCCGTGTCCCCTGCATTGGCAGGCGGACTCTCAACCACTGAGCCACCAGGGAAGCCCAGGAATGGCACCATTTTTGACTGTATGCTATGGTGGAAACTGCCTGGACCATGGGCTTGAATTCCAGCCTTGCCAGCTTCTAATCATGTAATCTTGGGTAAGGTAACTACCTTTTTGGAGCCACTACTATATTGTGATGAGCTCTCAATGTACATTATATTTTTAAAAAATATCACCCCATATCATCCCATATCAAAAAATTAATATTATCCATATATATGTAAAAATTCAAAAATACTATAGCTGAAAGATCTCAGAATTCAAACACGTAACTGTGTAAATATGTTTTGAAGGCAGTGTTGCTTTAAACAAAGCAAAGAGCAGTTTAATATCAAAAAAGGGACTAATCAATCAATCATTTATTCAGCAAGTATTTATTAAATACCTATTACATGATTGACATTGTTCTAGGCATTGGGGATATAACAGGAACAAAATAAAATCCTTGACTCATGGAGCTTCCACTCCAGTGGAAAGAGACAGAAAGTAAGCACGTAAGGAATAGACTATGCCAGGTGGTGATAAATGTGATGAGAAGGATGAATAAAGCCAGGTAAGAAGGACAGGGAGTACCGAGGGTGGGCAGGGTCGCTGTTCTGATGGGGTGCTGTTCAGGCAGCAGCCTGAATGAGGGGGAGTCCACCTGCATACATCTTGAGAAGAGCATTCAGGCAGAGGGAAGAGGAAGTGCAAGAGTTTTAGGAGGGCATGCTTGGTATATTTTGATAACAGTGAGGAGGCCAGCACGGCTGGAGTAGAGTGAGATGGGAGGTGATGTGAGAGAGGTAAGGAGGGACAGATCTTGTTGACAGTGATGGATTCACAGGCCCCTCCACTTACAGGGTTCTTTAGTGGATGCAACATGCTGGCGACCATCCCTGAAACTCATCCTGAAATTCCGTTAGTACAGAATCTGTTTGGAGCTATTTGACCTGAGAACTCTAACTACCCTCCTTGGGGCAGTGCTGGGAACTGTGGGACAGTGGGGCCTTCTAGGGTGGACCTCTCTGGGCCTTACTTCCTCCTCCATACAGAGCAGTTCATCACCCAGAGGCATCTTGGCATTGCCTGCCTGAAGAGGGGAGCTGGTGTGGAACTGATCACCCCTTAGGTAACCTTCTGTTCTAAGATCTGTGATCTGCATTGATGAAAGAAATGGTTGCCTTCTGGAGATGATATAGAATCACAGGGTCAACTTCTCTCCCTTTGGAGATATGGCTTGTTCACTTATGAGTCACAGTCTGGTGAAAGCAAACCATTAGGTTCTACTGTTCTTTACCCCATTTGCCATTCAACAAGTATTGATGGAGCATAATGTATGTCAGCCACCAGGGGTATAGCAGTGAGCATTCAGAGAAGCATCCCTCAACTGGCTGAGGGAAGATAGACAATGATTGGAATGATGGAGTCAATAATTCCATTGTGTCTTATTTTAGGAGGTGATAAGTATAGTGAGGAAAACTTGAGCAGGGTAAGGAACATCCAGAATATGGAGATGGGATGCAGTTGTAAATAGGGGCTTGGGTAGGTCTTAATGAGAAGTTGACATTAGAGCTAAGATTTGAAGGAGTGGCCCATGTGGCTGTCTGGGAGAAGACCTTTCCAGGTAGAGGGACCAGCTAGTGCAAAAGCCCAAAGGCAGGAGGGCTGATGTTTTTGAAGAAAAGTGATATTCGTGGGGCAGGAGTGTGTATATGGAGATGGAGGTAAAGGAGGTAAGTGGGGAGTGTATGGGCAGCGAGGGAAGGGAGCAGGTCTTGTGGACTCTTATGAAGGACTTTGGATATTACTTAGTAAACTGGTTCCTGGATAATTTCATTGGTTCATATGCTTACTGAGGTGGCCAGGGAGGCCCCTGAGATGCTAAGCTCATTCTGGTTACACTAATAATTCAGAAACTCTAAAGACCCAGCACATGCCCATATGGCTGCAGGACAGATAGCTTGACTATTATTTTGGTGTTCCCAAAACATTAAGGTGGGAGGGAGCATGCTAGTTTTGTAAAGTATGTGATATCTCAGATTGAAAACACTGCTTCTATTTAAATTCATATTAAAGTGATTGCTTTAATGGGGTTATTAGAATTTCTAGAAGACAGTTTATGATATAGACTGAAAAAGGTATATATTCAAGATGTAAAAATTGTTAGTTGCCAAGGGACAGGGGTATTTATAGTACCAGTGTCCATAATAGTTGATCACTGGGCTCTGTTTGTACATTTGTGGCCCAAGACCTTCTTTGTCTCTCCTTAGGAGAGTGGGATGGCAAATATATGTGCATATTTAGAAATATTTGGAGATATATATATATATATATATACACACACATACATATAGTGACTATAACTGTCAGAGATGGTATAATAGTCTGCTTAGGCTGCCATAACAAAATACCATAGACTGGGTGGCTTTAACAACAGAAACTAATTTTCTCATGGTTCTGGAGACAGAGGGAAAGAGCATGCATGCTCTGTGATATCTCTTCTTTAAGGACACTAATCCTATTGGATCAGGGACCCACCCTTATGAACTCATTTAACTTAATTACTTTCTTAGAGGCTCTGTCTCCAAATATGGCTACACTGGGGCAGGGGGGTTAGGGCTACAACATATGGATTTGGGGGGAGGGAACACAGATGTTTAGTCTGTAACAGACAGGAAAGTAATTTTGAAAATACCAAAATTAATGAAGTTAGGACTACTGTTATTCAGTTTCTGTCCACAAAACCAATTCTATAAACTTTACCTTGATCATCTAATTCAATGCCCTGCTCTCAGTAGGCACTTGGTAAGTATTTACTGGACAACAAGGAGAGAGTCCCTGTTTTAGTAGAAGATTTGGATTGTCAGGTTCCTTATCGTCAAGGACTTTTTGAAGGCTGTGTCTATGAAATGGGTTAGAAGTTTGATCTTAGAGATTTGGGAAATAACCTAGATTTACTAGAGGCAGTGACATAGAATTACAGGGAACTGCACAGATTTGGGACCTGAGCTTAGACAAATGCATTAACCTGTCAGACAACTCAGACCCACATCTGATGCCATCATAGCTCTTCTCTTACCTGCTGTGGTGGGCAGATTTGCTGCCTCCGCTGGTTCCAGCTCTGGGTTTCTGTCTCTATTTTGTATGGAGTTACAGGTTTTAAGTGTTCCTCCTACTGCCACTGTGGCCCAAGCCCCCATCGTCTTTTACCTAAATTGTTGCAGTGGCCTCCTAACTGTTCTCTCTGCTTTGACCCTTTCCCTGGAGTCTGCTCTCTACACAGTAGCCACTGCATCTCTGTACAAAACCCCTTGGATTACCATTTCATTCTCAGAAGAAAATCTCAAGTCTGTCAGGAAGGCTTTGCAGCATCTGCTGCCCCCACCCCCGTGCAAACTCAGCTTTCCCCTATGCACTCCACCCCCATCTTTGTGGAGTTGGTTCTCAGAAAAGCCAAGCGCATTCTACCCCAGGACCTTTGCACTTGCTGTTCCTGTTCCCTAGAACGCCCTTCCTCCAATACCTGTATGGTTTGCTCTCTCACTTCATTCAACTTTTTGCTCAAATGTCACTTTGTCAGAGAGTTATGCTCTGACCATCCACTATAAAATAACAGCCTCTGCCACCTAGCATGCCCTGTCCTCTGTACTCTGCTTGTTCCCCCATAGTACTTGGGTACTGATCACCATACATATATACATATTTAATTTGTTCTCCCCAACTAGGATGAAAGCTCTATAAGGGCAAGACCTTCGTTTTGTTCACTGTTTATCCCCAGTACCTGAACAATGCCTGCATGTAATAGGGACTGGCTATGTATTTGTTTTTTAAATAAGTGAATGACTGAAGCTGACATTTTTTAAGAGGCAAAGTATAAATAAAATAAATGAATTCTTGGCTGCTCATGGTTCTCCCATTTTTCCATGTGAGCTTCTCGATAACTATCCAGATAGATAACATCTACAAAATGCCTTGAATTTCCTGGAGAACCAAAAGATGTAAGCAAAAACAAGATGTACAGTTTTTTCAGACATGAAAATTGTGCAATTTTTCAGGCATTAAAAATCTTTTATTTTAGATGTTTCAATGTGAATGAAAATGTGCATGAGGTATTTGGATTTTTTAAGGTAAGAAAGAATTTAGGCCTATGCTCCTGTCATTCTGAAGTATTCCTGCTATTGACACAAAACAAATGTATGAGAGGCAATCTGTACAGACAGAATATTCATTAGTGTAATAGAGTAAGTTTGCCAAGTATGTTTAGTTAATTAAACCTATGTGCATATTCCTTATTCATTTATATCATAAAAGCAATATTTTGATAAATATTTAGAGTAATAAATCAAGTTAATTCTAGTGATATACAGAGTAGAGTTAGAAATGGGAAATTGGCTTAATAATATCTTTACAAACCATTTGTTTCTGCCACAGATTGGTTTATGCAAGAATCTCCCATGCTGAGCTGAGTGACTCTGAAATTCAGATGGCCAAATTTAGGATCCCTGATGATCCCGTTAATTATAGAGACAACCAGAAAGTGGTCACAGACCCCAGGGAAGTTCCCGAGAAAATTCACTTCAATCCCAGGTGAGTGAGTTCCTTTATGTCGTGAACTACAGCTATGAGATTGTCCATCCCCTCTAGGGACCTAAATATTACCTCACAATGAGCTACAAATTAGATTCGGTTCTAGAGGTTTATTCATGTTAAGAGAGCTCCTGGTAAAGATTATGACATCCTACTTGGGTTGAAGTTACGATCCCTGCTTTCTGGGATAGAGAAACGTGTTGAAGTCCCAACCTCAGGCAAAAAAGATCAATGGCACCATCACCATCATAATAGCTAATATTAAAGTGTTTTTGTGTCCTAGACCCTGTTCTAGATGTGTCATGTGTTGTCTCGATTAATCCACATTGGGTTAGTCCTCTTGTTATCCCCATTTTAGAGGTAAGGAAGCTTAGGCCGAGGAACATAACTTCATCAGGGTTACGTGGCTGGTCAGTGACAGAGCCAACAAGTGGGAAGGAAGCCTGTTAGCATCATTGGGTTGCTGTGATTCTCAGTGCTGGCTGCACTTAGACTCACCTGGAGAGCTTTTAAAAACTCCCTCTGCCTGGGTCCCACCCCAGACCAATTCATCAGAACCTCTTGGTGATACATGGGCTTTGGGTTAAAAAATAATCTTTTCAGGTTATTCTGATGTGCAGTAAGAATTGAGACTATGGAGAGTGGATTATTTATTTCCATTACAGATACTCTACCCTCTGAAATGTGTTGGGTGTTGTTTAGTTTTAAATAGAGGTTATCTGAGAAATCTGTTTGCAGCAAAACATGTGATTTGGAGTAGTTGCTCTTTTTTCTTCCTATGACTGGATAAGGAGAGGAAATGTCTGCCTCAAACCAGACTCAGAACATGTCATATACCTTGTTAGTATTATTTGACATTTCTACTACTTTTACCAGCTAGTAGCTATAGAAACTTCTCAGATGTCATTTTGTTTGGGGGGGAAATGACATTTATCCATTCTCTTTTTCTTCCTTGTCTCTCCCTACAAGAAAAAACTGTATCAAAGTGTAGGCAGCAAACGTAAGGAGAGCTATAGCCAAGTCTTGATCGGCTTCAGTCACTGTATTTGATCTTGCCCTTTGTAACTGCAGTGTGGCTATGAAGAGCATGGGCTCTGGGGAAAAGCTGCCCAGTTCAGACCTTCACTTTTTGCCAGTGAACAGCTGCACAACTGTGAGCAAGTTGCTTAACCTCTCTAAGCTTCAAATCTCATCTACAAAATGGGAAAAATAGTAGTGCCTGACTCCTAAGTTTTTTCGGGGTTTGAATGACACACAAAGTTCTTAAAATAGGGCATGGTAAATCCTCCAGAGCCAGGAGCTGCAATAGCAGCAACAGTCTTTTTAGAATGCAGTGGGAAATTCTATCAATTTATAACATATATTGCTAAATACAAGCATTTCTCCAAATTGTTTTTCTTAAATATTTGATAAAAAATAGAATGTGGGGTAACCTAAGAAAGCTTTACTATGAGAGAGAAAATAACAAAAACGTCTTACCTTTTTTTTTTTTTTTTTTTTTTTGCAGTACGCGGGCCTCTCACTGTTGTGGCCTCTCCCGTTGCGGAGCACAGGCTCCGGACGCGCAGGCTCGGCGGCCATGGCTCACGGGCCCAGCCGCTCCGCGGCATGTGGGATCTTCCCGGACCGGGGCACGAACCCGTGTCCCCTGCATCGGCAGGCGGACTCTCAACCACTGCGCCACCAGGGAAGCCCATGTCTTACCTTTTTAATGCTTAAAAATAGGAAATGGATTTTTTGACAAGCTGGAAGGATCACTTACAGAAATCAAGCAGCCTTACATCCCTCTTGGAACAAAGCAGGGGAAAAAAATGTTTCAAGATTAAGTCTAATTGTTAGAAGAATAATGTGTACGTATAACTGTTGTTGACTCGGCAGCTGCAGCACGCCCGTTGCCATCCTCCCCTTGAGCTATGATAGCATCGCGTCTCTTCTCCGGGTTTGCATCACTCCCTGGCTGTACAGGACACGCTCTGTTGATGTCTCCAGTCAGTCAGGCGACCAGTTGTCAGGCAACATACCTCTGCACACAGAGAGGTCCCACAGAGAGAATTCTTCCCTAGAACCAAGCAGGTAGGTGATGGGGAGAATTCAGCCCAAAAGCATTATCTCTGCGAGGAATAGTGGCTTGAATGTTGTTCAGGGGGCCACACATTACATCTTCGAGCTAGAAGGGCCCTGAATGTTGTTTGATCTCTTGGGGCAGAGATAAAAATTCTAAGAGAATTTCCAAAGGTTTTAATGTCACAATCTAAGGAGGTTCCTGGGATCTATTTAATAAAAACGTGTTGAGCACATCACCATCTGCAAAACACGATGTCATACTGTGGTGGTTTTAAACATGTCCACAAGTGATTTGGCACTTCCTTCAAAAGGTGGGGCCTGGGGCTCCCCTGGTGGCGCAGTGGTTGAGAGTCTGCCTGCTGATGCAGGGGACGCAGGTTCGTGCCCCGGTCCGGGAAGATCCCACGTGCCGCAGAGCGGCTGGGCCCGTGAGCCATGGCCGCTGAGCCTGCGTGTCCGGAGCCTGTGCTCCGCAACGGGAGAGGCCACAACAGTGAGAGGCCCGCGTACCACAAAAAAAAAAAAAAGGTGGGGCCAGACTGGCCTCTTTCTGAGTGTGGGCTAGACTTAGTGACTCACTTTTGATGAAGAGAATAATGTGAAAGAGAGGGCATGTGACTTCTAAGCTTGGGTTTTAAAAGATTGTGGCTTCTTCTGCCTCAGTCTCATCCTCTTGGATCTGAGAGAAGCCAGGTGCCACATCATGAGCCGCCCTGTGGAAAGGTGGGGAGGGACTGAGGCCTCTTGCCAACAGCCATGGGAGTGAGCTACCTTAGATGCGGAACCTCCAGCCTCAGCCAAGCTTCAGATTGTACTTCAGCCCTAGCTCACATCTTGACTGCCACTCATGAGAGACCCAAGTCCAACCACCTGGCTTAGCTGCTCCTAAATCCTTAACAGATAATAACTGTTGTTTTAAGCCATCTGTGTTCAAATCTTCCTCAACTTATGATGGAGTTATGTCCTGAAAAACCCATGTAAATAGAAAATATTGTAAGTTGAAAATGCGTTCAATACATCTAACCTACCAAACATCATAGCTTAGCCTAGCCTACCTTAAAGGTGCTCAGAACACTTACATTAGCTACAGTTGTGCAAAATCATCTAACACAAAGCCTATTTTATAAAGAGTGCTGAAAAATCTCATGTAATTTACGGAATACTGTAGTGAAAGTGAAAAACAGAATGGTCATCTGGGTACAGAGTGGTTGTAAGTGTGGGTTACCCTGTGATCGTGTGGTTGACTGGGAGCTGTGGCTTACTGCCCTGCCCAGCATCATGAGAGAGTATTTGTACTGCATATCACTAGCCTGGGAAAAGATCAAAATCCAAAATTCCAAGTGTGGTTTCTACTGGATGCATATTGCTTTTGAATCATTGTAAAGTCAAAAAATCCTAAGTGGAGCCATGGTAAGTCGGGGACCATCTGTATTTGGGTAATTTGCTCTGCATCAGTAGATAACTAACACAGCCCTTGAAACTATTCACATTTAGGGAACTCTGGGAACCTGGCAACAACAAACATATTTACTTAGCATCTATTATATCCATAGTACGGCACTGGGCACGTGATGGTGATAGGAGGTATCACTTAAGTGAAAAAGACACTGCCCTTTTCTCTGGTACCTCATCACCAAGTTTGGGAAACAAAAAGATACAGAGACATCTTGAATGGTAACTATTGACTGTTGACTCTCTATTGAGCCAAGTGCTTTACCAACATTATCTCCTAACAACAATACTGCAAGGTCATGTAATCCAGATGACAACTGGGGTCACTTTACCTTTTAGCTCTGGATAAGATGGACAGAACCCTCATACCACTCCCTCCAGAAGACAGTGTCCTCTCCCAAACTTCTGTCAGTTGTGGGAAGTTAAGGGGCAAGTGACATTTTTGTGATCACCCCTCACACAGATCTCCTTCTACTGTCATAGTTCAGTTCATAGATGGTCTTGCGCTTGCATTTCTTTTTTTTTTTTTTGAGGTATGCGGGCCTCTCGCTGTTGTGGCCTCTCCCGTTGCAGAGCACAGTCTCCGGACGCGCAGGCCCAGCAGCCATGGCTCACGGGCCCAGCCGCTCCGCGGCATGTGGGATCCTCCCGGACCGGGGCACAAACCCGTGTCCCCTGCATCGGCAGGCGGACTCTCAACCACTGCGCCACCAGGGAAGCCCCGCGCTTGCATTTGTAACACTTTGATTATGCTGCAGTACAAGGAGAGGATGCACTTAATGCACCTAGCGGTGCCTGGCACTCAGCAGGTACTCAGAATTTCCCAAAGTTCTGGGGAGGCACATACACAGAGGCAAGGGCTGCTTCTGACTGTGCCAAGCCAACGGAGGACTCTGTTCTTTCCTTGAGTTCCTCAAAACAAACCAAGTAAAGCAAAACTGCTCTTACCTTGTGTTTTAGTGGTAGCATAAGATTTGGAAAGACAGAAGGGTTTAAGTTATAAAAACTCAAAACCTCTTCAAGTAGAATTAGATATTCCCTTGTTTTACAAATCTTTTGTCTCTTCCACATCATGAAGTTTAGGAATCTCCCTCTCATCTTCTCTGGTTTCCCATAGCTCCCCCAAATTTCTGTTCATTTCTAATGAAAAGTAGACACTAGCTCTTTTTCTCAGTCTCTCGCTTGTTCATCAAGCGCTCAGGACCTTACTTTCCATCTCACATGGCTTATCTGAGGTGGAGATTTCGATACACCTCTGTCAGTAAATGACAGAGCAAGCAGAAAGTTTAAACAACACAATGAACTTAACCTAACTGACATGTATAGAACAATGAGTGTCCCAAGTAACTTCAAATTACTCATTCAAGTGTACATGGGACGTTTACCAAAACTGACCATATGCTGGAGCAAAAAGCAAGATTTAACAAACGTCAATTATTGAATTAATACAGAGTATATTCTCTAGTGACAATGAAACTAAGCTT